AAGGAAGGAAGGAAGGAAGGAAGGAAGGAAGGAAGGAAGGAAGGAAGAAGGAAGGAGAAGGAAGTAAATATTTATTAAAGGTATACCATGTGCAAGGCAGTTATGCAAAGTGGATAGAGTGCCAGACATGGAATTAGGAAGACTCACCTTCATGAGTTCAAATCTAGTCTCAGGTACTTTCCAACTGTATGACTGTGGGCAAGTCACTTAACTCTGTTTGCCTCAGTTTCCTCATCTGTAAGATGAGCTGGAGAAGAAAATGGCAAACCACTCTAGTATCTTTGCAAAGAAAACCCCAAATGGGGTCAGGAAGAGAAGGACACAACTAAACAACAACAACAACAAGACTGCACAACTAAGTCAATGTCAAATTTTAAATCCAAGTCTGAAGACTTTCCACTATATTATGCTACTTCTGTTGTAATTACTACTATCCCTTCTAACTCTCAATCTATGACCCTACATTTTACTTCCTTCTCCTTCCTTCCTTCTTCCTTCCTTCCTTCCTTCTTCCTTCCTTCCTTCCTTCCTTCCTTCCTTCCTTCCTTTCTTCCTTCCCTAGGATATGACTGAAAAAATTGAACAACGACAAAATGTGCCAGGCACTGTGCTGAGTGCTTTACAAATATTATCTCATATATTTCCCCCACAACCCTGTGATGCATTTCTCCCCATTTTACAGTTGAAGAAACTGCAACAGACAGAGGTTAAGTGACCTGCCCAAGGTTACATATCTATTAAGTGTCTAAGGATGGGTTTGAATTCAGATCTTCCTGACTCCAGGCCCAACACTCTATGCACTGTGCCACCTAGATCGTCCTTAATGTTCCAACTCTGATAAGCAATGATCTGAGGATTCTCAGGTGCCATTTGTATAAAGTAAAGTTGGTGATAGTTGTCTAAGAAGCACATTTATAACCACAGGCAAGCAGTGAACGGTACACATTAATAAAGTGCCAATGGAATTCAAAGTAAAGGAAAGGTCATGATAGGATGGAGTTAATCAGGGCAGGCTGCTTGGCAGAAGTGAAACTAGATGAGCTTTGAATGAAGTTATAGGCAAGAAGCTCAACAGGAAGGAAAAATTCCTAACAGCTAGAACTATCTCAAGCAAAATGGGCTGCCTTGGAAGGTAGTGAGTTCCCCATCACTGAAAGTCTTTGAGGGGAGGCTGGACTGCCACCTGGGGATACTGTAGAGTGCTTTGGAGAGAGTTGAACTAAATGATTTCTCACATCTCTTTAATTTGTGTGGTACTATGATTCTATGGCTTCATGGAAAGGAGGAAAGACCTTTTTGGGCAAAAAGATAAAAGTTCTTGAACTATATACCAGTGGTGGCCAAGCCCTGGAAGGTCCTACCAACTGAAACAGATCAAGTCAAGTCAACATGTATTTATTAATCCCCTATGTACCAGGCACTATACCAAGTGCTGAGGATACAAAGAAAGACAAAAGGCAGTCCTTGCCCTCAAGAAGCTCACAGCCTAATGGGGGAAATAACATGTACAAATTATATATATATATATATATATATATATATATATACACACACACACACACACACACACACATATATATGTATATATGTATGTTTATATATATATATACATGAGTGTGTGTATATATATATATATGTGTGTGTATATATATATATATATATATATATATACAGGATAAATAGGAGATAACCGAAGAGAAAAGTTGCTCACAGCACATACAGACCCAACGATGGACGGCATGTCTAATATCCAAAAATAAGCCTTTCTAAGTGGCTTATCACCAGACAATTGGCCACCAAGTGATAAATTCTGGGTCATAGCAACTCAGAAAAAGTCTGCTAAAATATGGAGGGGTCATAACCTGCCTCAGTAGAGAAACACACTGACAAAATCACAAATTTTTGAACTATTAAATACAGTCATCACATTGTGCCCATTTGTTGTTATTCAGTAGCATCCAACTCTTCATGACTCCATTTGGGGTTTTCTTTGTAGAGATACTGGAGTGGTTTGCCATTTCTTTTTCCAGCTCATCTTACAGATGAGGAAACTGAGACAAACAGGGTTAATTGACTTACAAGGTAACACAGCTAGGAAGTGTCTGAGGCCGGATTTGAACTTAGGAAGAAGAGTCTTCCTGACTCCAGGCCCTGCACTCTATCCATTGTTCCACCTAGCTGCCCATTCTGCTCATGTCCTGCCTTAACATTTCTATCCAACCAGTTGCCTGTGGGTGAGGGTTATTGTGTCTGTCTATGGCTGAACCTCTAAGAGAGCAGTCCACTATGTCAGGGAGATTGTTTTTAGAGTGCCTAGCAAAGGACTGTGTACAATTGGGTACTTAATAAGAGATACTTCTTGATGGTAATAATGATAAAGAAAAGAATAATAGCTCCTATTTCCATAACATTTTTCTTATAACAAGTATAACAGAGCCTAGAACCAATTTCTCTTGACTTCAAATCTGAGACTCTTATGACAATACTAATACTATACAATCTCTCTAGAGATATAAAATTCTCTCTGGACATTGTGGACAGTGAGGTGGTTCAATGGATAGAGCACTGGGCTTGGAATCAGGAAGATAAACTCATCTTACAGAGTTCAAGTCTGACCTCAGATACTTACTAGTTGTGTGACCCTGGGCAAGTCACTTCACCCTGTTTGTCTCAGTTTCCTCATCTGTAAAATGAGCTGGAGAAAAAAATGGCAAGCCAATCCAGTATCTTTGCCAAGAAAACTCCAAATGGGGTCACGAAGAATCAGACCTGACTGAAAAAATGACTGAACCCTGGAAATTACACTGAGTGAGATATATAGTAGGACTCCTGTCCCTGGGGAGAAGGAGTTAATGTCTAAGAGAGACAGTCATAGTAGTAATGACCATGATTCCTGAACAGCTGGTTGAAAAGTTAAAATTTCAGTTGACAGGTTAATTGTTTACAAAGGTCTTTACAAACGTTAACTCATTTGACCTTTATAACAACCCTGGGAGGCAAGTGGTGTTACTAATCTGCATTTTAGATATCTCACAGCTAATAAGTATCTGAGGCTGGATTTGAACTTGAGGCTTCCTGACTCCAGGAAAACATTAATCCATTTGCCACTTAGCTGCCTCATTAGATAACCAATGGAGTGTGGGGGGGGGGGTGTTCAAGGAGGATTTGTGCCTCTTGTGTGAGGGCTTGCTGGGCCCTTTTCAGGGCTGCTCATAAAGCTTTGGTGACCACCTTTACGCCGCTCTCACCTGTTGCTCTAAGAAGCTGTAGTATGTGCAGTAGCCACACCCTGGTAAAAACCATCTTGGCTAAACCAGGTAGAAGGTAACTGACAGTCTTCAAAACTGTTGATGAGTTAGGAGGCTGTCTACCCCAAGCATGTGAAGGTTTTCCCCCCACCCCCACTGGAATGGGCAGATGAGAACAATTTATTCCGACAGCCATGAAGGTGCCTAAAGCAGGTGATGTGAAGTGCTTAGAACTTGGGCAGACATTGAAGACCCCAAAGTCATTTATTGCATCCTGGGCTATCGCCAGTCCTGACTTTTGTCTTGCCACTGGACTCAGTGACTCTGGAAGAGAGAAGCTGATGACTTTGCATAACTCTGCTTCACTTAAATCTAATTCATGTGCAAGTCAAGATAGCACCCCATGACATCATTGGTCCTCTTCAAAAACAGAGGGCAAACAACAACAGATAACCAATACTCTTGACTTTTTAAAAATCAAATTTCTAGTTATTTTTATAATGTTAATTGACATTTATAAAGCACTGAAATGTTTGCTATTATTGTTCAGTCATGTCCAACCCCATGGACTCTGCTCTATCCACTACTTTTTTTTGATAAAGATGCTAGAGTAGTTTGCCATTTCCTTCTCCAATGTGTCCCCATTTTACAGATGAGGAACTGAGACAAATAGGGGTAAGTAACTTGCCCAGGGTCACACAGCGGATAAGTGTCTGAGACCGGACTTGAACTTGTCTTCCTGACTCTAGGCCTGGTACTCTATCCACTGCACCATCTAGCTACCCCCACTTTAATGTTTACAAAGGATTTGGTACCCATTTCTTCACTTGAGCTGCTCAAAAACCCTATGAGGTAGTAGATGCTACTAGTAGCATAATCCCCATTTTACAGATGGTAAACTTGAGGCTTAGAAAGCCATTTAGTAGCTTGCTTCTTATCATGTGGCTAATGTGTCCAAGGCAGAATTTGAACCCAGTTTTTCCTGACTGCAAGTACACTGTTCTACTCACCATACGAGCAACCGTGTACCAACAAACCAAGTTAGTTCTCCATTATCTTTGCCTGGGTTATATCCTTTGTGGGTTCTAAAGGCAAATGTTTTCATTCAAAGCCATCTTTCCCCACCTCTCTCCTTTTCTGAGACATCTTTCCTCATCGTCTGTCTGTTGGTGTGTGCTAAGGGAATGCAGACTCATTTTAATATCAGCCTGAGCCTAATCTTGTTAGAGAGGTAATCTGGTTGTTCTTTAAATGCAAACAAACACACCAAACCTCCCAAAGAATCCATCAAGCCTATTCCAGCTCTAAACAGAAAAGAATTTTGGACTATTTTGTGTAAATTTTCTATGTTGGTGGCAGTCTTCTGGAGGACCATAGGATCACAGATGGAGAGTTCGATGAGACTCAAAAGCCATCTAGTTTGACGCCCTCGTAGCAGCTGACTAACCCTAATTATTTTTCTTTCCCTTCCAGGCACCAAGGCCCAAGTGACCAGACCATGGAGACCCTGCTCAGCAGCCTCCTGGCATTTGGCATGGCATTTGCTGTCGTTGATGCCTGCCCCAAGTACTGCGTCTGCCAGAATCTTTCTGAGTCCCTAGGGACACTGTGTCCCTCCAAGGGGCTTCTTTTTGTGCCACCAGACATCGACCGCCGGACGGTGGAGTTGCGCCTAGGTGGCAACTTCATTATCCACATAAGCCGCCAGGACTTTGCCAACATGACAGGGCTGGTGGACCTGACACTGTCCAGGAACACCATCAGCTACATCCAGCCCTTCTCCTTCTTGGACCTGGAGAGCCTCCGGTCACTGCACTTGGATAGTAACCGTTTGCCAAGCATCGGTGAGGATACCCTCCGTGGCCTGGTCAACCTTCAGCACCTCATTGTCAACAATAACCAGCTGGATAACATTGCCGATGACGCCTTTGAGGACTTCCTGCTGACCCTAGAGGATCTGGATCTCTCCTACAACAATCTCCGTGGGCTGCCCTGGGACTCAGTGCGACGCATGGTCAACCTTCATCAGCTCAGTCTGGACCATAACCTCCTAGACCACATTGCTGAGGGCACCTTTGCTGACCTCCAAAAGCTAGCCCGCCTGGACCTCACCTCCAACCGACTGCAGAAGCTGCCTCCAGACCCCATCTTTGCCCGCTCCCAGTCATCCAGTCTGACTGCCACACCCTTCACCCCACCCTTGTCTCTCAGTTTTGGGGGGAACCCACTGCATTGCAACTGTGAGCTGTTATGGCTGAGACGTCTAGATAGGGACGATGACCTGGAGACATGTGGCTCTCCAGCCAGCCTGAAGGGCCGATACTTCTGGCATGTGCGTGAAGAGGAGTTTATGTGTGAACCCCCTCTCATCACCCAGCATACCCACAAACTGCTGGTGCTAGAAGGCCAAGCTGCCACACTCAAGTGCAAGGCCATTGGAGACCCCAGTCCTCTAATCCACTGGGTGGCCCCAGATGACCGCCTCATTGGGAACACATCCCGAACTGCTGCCTATGACAATGGCACCCTGGACATCCTCATTACCACCTCACAAGATTATGGTGCCTTCACCTGCATCGCTGCCAATGCAGCCGGTGAAGCTACAGCCACTGTGGACGTATCTATTGTCCAGTTGCCTCACCTAAGCAATGGCACCAGCCGTACCACATCCCCCAAATCTCGCCTCTCTGACATCACCGGTTCCAGCAAGGCTGGCCGAGGGGGAGGAACTGGAGGTGGTGGTGGAGGAGCAGGGGGTGGGGAGGCCTCCAAGGGGCCCCCGGAGAGAGCTGTGCTTGTGTCCGATGTGACCACTACTTCAGCTCTGGTCAAGTGGTCAGTGAGCAAATCGGCTCCCCGGGTGAAGATGTATCAGCTACAGTACAATTGCTCAGATGATGAGGTATTAATCTACAGGTGAGCAAGGGGCTGGGAAGAGAACTGCAGGGGGGGAAAAAGGGGGAAAACAGGCTAGGAGGGCAATGGAAAGTCCATGAACCAGGACAAATCATGCTTTGTTTCCTCTTGTCTTCATCAGCAGTTTTTATAGCTAAAATCGGAGTAAAAAGAACACCAAAAGCAGTTTCCAAGAGCAAAAAAAAAAAAAAAATCATAAAAGAGCACCAGAGGAGAAGTTGTGGAAGGGGGAAGTAGCCCCGTCACATTGTCTGAGTGATTTGTGTAGAAAGGGAAAGGGAAGATGACTGTGTGAAGAAAAGATATTATGGGCTGAGTAGGTTCAAGGGAACTACAGACTCTTACTAATTCCTCCCTTCTCCCTGTATTCAGTTCAAATCTTCCCACTTTAACAACAGTCAATGACAAACTGTAATCTGTGGAGAGGAGGTAGGTGATCAAGATGGTGAAATCATTGGAGATCCCGCCATCTAAGGGTAAATCAACAGAACCTAGGATGTTCATGCCAGAATAGAGAAGACATGGAGTTGGGCATGACAGATGTCTTCAAATATCCGAAAGGTTATCTATCTCTCACAGAGAAAAGGGATTAGATTTGTTCTGTGTAGTCATTGGGAAGTGATAGCAATGAAAAGAAAAAATATGTAGTTACTAATCTCTTTGGAATGTCAGGTGTGGTTCTACTACTGGTTCCTAAATCATAGTTAATGTTTCAATGAAGCATAAAAACTCAAAATCATCTAATCTAACCCGCTTCAACACCTCCCTTGCCTTGCCAGGGTCAAATAGGATATTTGTAATATACTTAACATGGTGCCTGGCACATAATAGGCACTTAATAAATGCTTGTTCCCTTCTCTCTTTCCCTCACTCCCTCCCTCCCACCCTGTTGTGGAGGATTTGAAGTGTTTATTCAAAGTCATGCAATGAATTAATGGACTCTTTTATTGGAGGTAAGGAGGTCAAGACCTTGGGCAGCTAGGTGGCACAGTGGATAGAGTGTCAGATTTGGAGTCAGGATGACTCATCTATCTAAGTTCAAATCTGGCCTCACACACTTTCTAGCTATGTGACCCTGGGCAAGTCACTTAACCTTCTTTGCTTCAGTTCCCTCATCTATAAAATGAGCTGGAGAAGGAAATGGCAAACCACCGTAGTGTCTTTGTTGAGAAAACCCCAAATGGGGTCATGAAGAGTCAGATATAACTGAAACAACTAAACAGCAATGGACCTCGAGAGAAAAAAACAATCCCTGCTGCCCCTCCCCCATTCCCACCTGCTATCCAGGCCACACACACACACACACACACACACACAGAAAGAGGTACCTGTTACAACTATGGGATAGGGCTCTGCTGGTCAGATCTTATGTTGTTTTTCCCCCCCTGATACATCATATTCAATTACCTGCCAACCAGTTTATTAGTCATCTATGTGAAGTGTGTTCTCTCTTCTTATCCATCTCTTTCCAAAAGGAAGGAATCTGATTGTGAGAGTCTCTAGTTAAAGAGATGACTGGACCAAGAGAGAATAATTTTCCACAACAGTGAAAAGCATGTCTCAAGTGTGTATGTGTGTGTTTGTGTGTATGTATTTGTATGTATACACACGGATATATATGTATGTGTATATAGATTTGCATGTGTATGTGTATGTATAGATAGATATCTATATCTATAGAAAAAGAAAGAAATATAAAAAATATAGATGCAACTCTATAATGGTATGGTCTTAGGTCGCAGAGGATAGGAGCTAATGGGTAAGAGAAGATGGAATGGAAGTTGGGGAAGGAGGGATGATAGTTATTGAAAGTACAGGCCCCACTTAGATCACAGAATATTAGAATGTAAGTTCACTGCAAGTAGGGGCTGTTAATTTTTTTGTATCTGAACAGTGCTTGGCACATAGTAGGCAGTTAACAATTATTTATTGATTGACTGATTTCTAGAAATTCAGAATTGAAAGGAATTTGGAAATAATCTAGACCAGGGATGGGGAGCCTGTAGCCTCGAGGCCACTACTCCTCATCCAGACCAAGCTGGCATATTAGGAGTTAGAGTTAGAAGGGACTTTAGAGGTTATCTAACCTAATGGCTTCCAAACTATAGTGATGCCCTACTTTTCCTTCTTTCTTTCTTTCCTTCTTTCTTTCTCCTCCTTCCTTCCTTTGCTTTCTTTTGCTTTCTTTCTTTCTTTCCTTGTTTCTTTCTTTCTCCCTTCCTTCCTTCTGTCCTTTCTCTCTCTCTTTCTTAATTTTGTTTGTTTATGCTGAACTTGATTACCAAGTAGAATGAGCATTTTCATTCACATAGTAGAGCAGAAGAGGATGGTACTTGAAACTTCAAATCTCTGTTCTGTACAGCTGACTTTTCTTTTTAAGTATATAATAAATAAGCATGTAATGTTAAAAAGAAGAAATTGAAGAAAAGTTAGAGATAATTCCTGCAATACAGGCTCATTAGATAGTTCTCCGAGAGGGATATGGATACTCTATCTCCTTTGGTTAATGATGCAAAATCAATCAATACATATGTACATACATACATTTATCAAACAGGTAAATGTTAATATATAGGCGATTTGCAACCACTTAGAAAAAAAATGTGATAATCAATGTGAGCCAGAATGGATTCACTCAGAATAAAACATGACAAAAAATCTCATTTTCTTTTCTTGATCAAGGGAATATTACAGACTGAGTGTATTCTAAATTCAGGGAGGCATTTGACAAAGTCTCCTGATATCTTTGTGAATGAGATGGAGTGGCATGGACCAGATAATAAAATAATACACTTAGGTGTATTAAAATGGTTTATACCAACCTAAGAGGACATATCTGATGGGGCATTCTGTCATTGGCCTTGATTTTGTCAACATTTTTGTCAGTAACTTGGATAAAGATAGAACATGTTTATCAAATTCAGAGATGACAGAAATTCAGAGGGATGTGTAACATATTCATTGACAAAATCAAGAGCCAAGAAGACTTCAACAGGATTAAGTGATGGGTAGAATCATAGGAAGCAAGATGTAGTTTAAAGGTACTATTGTATAGGGAATAAATTGGTAGACATGGAGTCAGAAAGACTTAGGTTTGAATCCTATCTCAGACACTTAGCTGCTATGTAATCCTGTGCAAGTCACTTAACCTTTCTGAGCCTAAGTTTTCTTATCTGTAAAATGAAGCTCGACTCCACCACCTCTAAGGTAATTTCCCACTATAAAAGTATGATCTCATGATCCTAATAAGATGAATTTCAACAAGGATAAGTGTAAACTCTTCCATTTTGTTTGGGAAAAAATTACATGAGAATGGAGATAATAATAGTACCAACAGCTAGCATTCATTTTATTTATTTAATTATATTTATTTAATTTATTTATTTTATCCCTTTAAGGTTTGCAAAGCATTTTACAAATATTATCTCATTCAATCCTCACAACAACCCCAGTAGGTAGGAACTACTGTTATCCCCATTTTATAGATGAGGAAACTGAGGCAAATAGAGTTTCAGTGACTTGCTTGGGATCACACAGCTAGTAAAGTATCTGAGGATGTATTTCAACTCGTCTTCTTGACTCCAAGACTTTGTGCTACCTAGCTAGCTATTCAGATGGAGCTTGACCACAGTTGTGAATAAAACTAGTTGCTTTTAATTGACTGTGAACTCAAAATGAATCAATGGGGAGTGGACAGTAAAGTTAATGTTATCTAAAGCTCTGTTAACAGAAATAGAGCATCCAAGGTAAGAGATGATATCCCACTTAACTTCTGTGATCAGACGACACCTGCAATATCATGTTCAGTTCTGGGTTGCATATTTTAAGACGAGATTGACCGCCTAGAAAGTATCCAGAAGATAATTATCAGGTGAAGAGACACAAAACCATACTACATAATGAACACTTGAAAGCACCTTGGTACAGTAGGTGGGGCACTGGTTTGGGGGTCAGAAGACCATGGTTTCATTGCTGACATCATGCTTATTATCCATGAAAGCTTGAGCAAATGCCCACACATCTCTGAAATTCAGACTCCTGAGCCGCAGTGAGACAGTGTAGTACAGTGGAAAGAGTGAATCTTTAAACTCAGAAGACCGAGGTTCAAATGCTACCTCTGTCATTTACTACTTGCCTGATACTGGGTCACCACATATCATGCCTCTGACTCATATTGGCTGTGTGATCCTGATCAAGTCACTTTATGATCTTCTTTTCTGAAACTGCTCCAGACCGTCCGCGCTTTTATATCCCCAGCCCAATGAATGCCTTTTCCCGTGGGAGATGTCCCTATGACCCCTTCCTCTAGCTGACGTGAGTAAATGGTGAGTAAACGGGCCAGAACAGCAGGGTGGCAGACATTGCTTGAACCAAAGACCACACTTTCTCACAATTAGAGAGCCTCAACAATGTAATGTGCAGCTGTTTCATCAAGGAGTAGGTCCCTGTCACTGGGATGTATAAGCAGAGACTGGACCATCTGTCAGAGATGCTGCCAAGGGGATTCCTGCTCCGGGTGGAAGATGGAGCTCTATGACCTCTAAAGGCTCTTCCCACCTCTGAGATTCATAATTATATGATTCTTTCCCCACTCCTCAAACCTCTAACTCAGCTGCTTTCCTGATCTTGGACCCAGAAAGATCTGTGCTCAGGTCCTTCCTGAGACACATCCTGTCTATGTGACCCTGGGCAAGTCACTTAATCTCTTAATGCTTTAGGCAAATCTCTGAGAATATTAGTTGCAAAGAAAGTATCATTGGTAGAGGAAATTCATTGGACCAATGACATCACAGTATAATAATGCACTGTCTGCATCACAGGACTATTGAGAATAAAATGCTGGAGTGTGGAAATGTGGATTAACTCATGCAGTGCTCTCTTTCCCATGATTTCAAAAGAATTTTATTGTTACTGCAAATATTTTCAAACTCTACTGCCACATACTCTGGGGCTTTCATAGCATCCGCAGTCATTCTTGAGTTAAGAGGGGGCACCTCTTT